GTCAAATTGGGAAGGATGGCAGGGCCGTTCCCGGCTCCTCCATTGGAGGGTCTGCGGGTTTCCCCGCTCGGGGTGGTTCCCAAGAAGGAACCGGGCAAATTCAGGCTCATTCACCACCTCTCCTACCCGGAAGGAGAGTCGGTGAATGATGATATTGACAAGGACTTGTGCTCGGTCTCATACGCATCATTCGACAGGGCGGTCGAGCTGGTAAGGAAGGCCGGGCGCGGAGCACTGTTGGCTAAGGTGGATATTGAAGCAGCGTTTCGGCTGCTTCCGGTCCACCCAGCGTGTCATCACTTGCTGGGGTGTTTCTTCGACGGAGAGTACTTTGTGGATTTGTGCCTTCCAATGGGTTGTGCTATCTCCTGCGCCTACTTTGAAAAGTTTAGTACTTTTCTTGAATGGGTGGTCAAGGTTGAGGCGGGGAGTGGGGCTGTGGTACACTACCTGGACGATTTTCTCTGCGTAGGACCGGCGGGCTCCCCCGCCTGCCTACACTTGCTGAGAACGGTCGAGTGGGTGGCTGGCCATTTCGGGGTCCCGCTGGCGGTGGACAAGACAGAAGGGCCGGCTCAGTGCCTTAGTTTTCTGGGGTTGGAGATAGATACGTTGCAAGGGGAGTGTCGGCTGCCGCTGGAGAAGTTGCGGCGGCTGAAGGAGGAGGTGACGACGGCGGCTCAAGCCCGTAAGGTTACGTTGCGGCAGCTGCAGTCGTTGATCGGGATGCTGAATTTTGCATGCCGGGTGATCCCAATGGGTAGGGTGTTCAGCCGGAGCCTGTCGGCAGCGACGGCGGGGGTGCGATCCCCGCGTCACTTCATTCGGGTGTCGTCGGCCATGAGGGCCGACTTGGCCGTATGGGAGACCTTTTTGCGGGAGTTCAATGGGACGGTTTTTTAGACAGGAGGGCGTGTCGGCTGCGGAACTGGAGCTGTTCACTGACGCGTCTGGTAGCGTGGGCTTCGGGGCTTATTTTGGGGGACGTTGGTGTGCGGAGCGATGGCCGAGGGAGTGGCGACTGAGCCCCCTCATGCGGAACTTGGCTTTCTTGGAGCTGTTCCCGCTGGTCGTTGCGTTGGCCCTGTGGGGGGATAGGCTGCGGGACCGGAAGGTGGTCTTTTTCTCGGACAATATGGCCGTGGTGCACGCTGTGAATAACCAATCAGCGGCATCGAAACCCGTGGTTAGGTTGCTACGTCATTTTGTTCTGTTGTGCATGTCGCTAAATGTTGTTTTTCGTGCACGCCATGTGCCTGGGTTCATGAATGATGTAGCTGACGCCCTGTCTCGTTTTCAGTGGTCACGATTCCGGACGGTGGCGCCGGAAGCCCAAGAAGTGGGGCAGGCTTGCCCAGACGAGATTTGGCGGCTCGGGGCGACCTGCTTGGGGGACTGGTGAAGGCTTCGCTGGCGCCGGCCACATGGGCCGCTTACAGTAAGGTCTGGGACTCCTGGGAAAGGTCATGGGAGGGGTTGGACCGCCTGCCGGCGGGGGAATCGCTCAAGGATGCGTTCCTCTGGTACACCTGTCAATTTCTGGCGAAGGGGGCATCCCCGGCGGTGGTTGACAGGTCCATGGCGGCGATGGCTTTCTGGTTCAAGCTACATGGGGAAGAGGACCTTACTAAGACCTTTGTCATAAGGCAGGCACTGAAGGGGTACCGGCGGGGCCGCAGACGGCCTGACACTCGGCGCCCAGTATCGGTGCGAGTGTTGAGTGACCTGGTCGGTTTATTGCCTACTATATGTTTCGACAGGTTCGAAGCATCGTTGTTTCAGGCGGCGTTTCTGTTGGCCTTCTTTGGAGCCTTTCGGGTAGGGGAGTTGGTCAGTGCCACGAGGACTGCGGCAGGAGGGGTACAGGTGTCGGGGGTCCGAGTGCTGGAAGGGAAGGTGGTTGTACACCTGGCAAGATCCAAGACGGACATGTTAGGCAAGGGCCGAGATGTGACGCTGCGGGCCCTGCCGGGCTCCGCTTTGTGCCCAGTGGCCGCGGTGGCGGGGTACATGGCACGGAGGCCGGGGGTTGGAGGATCGCTGCTGGTACACGCGGACGGGTCTTCCCTCTCCCGGTTCCAGTTCACCAAGGTTTTTCGGTCTGGACTGGGAAAGCTAGGACTGAGGGTGGATACTTTTGGTACACACTCCTTTCGTATTGGGGCGGCTACGGAGGCAGCTCGGTTGGGTCTGGGGGATGACATAGTGAAACGGATTGGGAGATGGGAGTCGGTACGGTTCCGTTCATATGTGCGTTTGGGTTTATTGGAGTAAGATGGGGAAGGGCCTTTGGGGGGATCCCCGGGGGCTGGGTGCATAAGGGGCTGTATGATCTGTTTTCCTTCTCTCCCCCAGGCCGTGTCGCATGGATCGTGGGCCATTCATTTGTCTTCTGGGCCGAAAGGAGGGCTGCAGCTCGAGCTCAGGGCCACCAGCTGGGCTTTCATCGGGACCAGTTGGCAGTACAGTGGTTCGGGTATTTTTGTTGGGGGGAGGTCTGCGAAAGGGTGTTCCGGATGGTAGCAGGCGGGCAACCTGCTGGTGCTCCATGCGGGGGGCAACGACTTGGGCCTCACTCCGCAGCGGCGGCTAGTGAAGTGGATGAAGCAGGACCTTAACGGTTTAAGGGACCTACTTCCGGGGGTGATGTTGGTCTGGTCGGAGATTATCCCTAGGAAGCGGTGGCGGCATGCTAGGGACCCGGAGGCTATTGACAGATGTAGGAAGAAAGTGAATAGCTTGATGGCAAGCTTCGTGCGGAAGCTAGGGGGTGTGGTAGTTCGACACAGCGAGTTGGAAGGTGGTTTGCCGGGGTACTACCGCTCGGATGGAGTTCATCTCTCGGCAGTTGGTTGGGATCTGTTGACCCTGGGCTGGCAGGAGGGCATAACTAAGGCTCTTTTTCTTCGGGGTGGCGGAGCTCAGACAGCTTAAGGAGTCAAGGTCTGAGCTTGTGGCGGGATAGGGAGCTGAAGGAGAAGAAATAGGCTCCCTAGGATGAACGTCATGGAGACGTAAAACTGTGGTCATTGGTGGTTGGTAGGTTCCGAGTCCTGTCGGTGGCTCAGAATCTGGTGGGGCAGGGGTATCCGGGTATACCCCTGCCATGGTTAATTTATGTTTGGCACTTTAAGTTGGTATGTTGGAATATGTTGATACGTATGTTATATGTTATATGTATATGTATATATGTTATTTATATGGGGGTCATTGCCTGTTATATTAACAGAAGGATTCGGTTACGAGGGCGGAGTATGGGGGCAATGACCCATGTTTATTGTTAAAATTATTATTGCTTAATAAATTATTATTATTCAAGATTGGTTAAATAAAGCTGTGGACAAATTTTCCCATATACCTTTGTGTCAGTGAGTTATTGGGTTGGGTATGTGGGAGGGTTGTCCTGGAGTCCGACTGCCCATATGGCGACTATACACCGGTCATGTAGCCCCATGTAGCCAAAGCGCAGCTAAGCGAAAAAAGGCCTTGACAGGGGTTAGGAGGCGGGCATAGGAGGAGGGAAGGAAGTAGGGAGTTATGGGTAAGTAGGCTTGGCTATTTAAATAGGCAGCCATTTTAAAGCCTTCACTTTTAATTACTACCTTGCTGAGTTTGTCCCGCCCACCCTCCCTGAATTTGGTTCGGACTTGGGTTATCCCGTTTTTTCACAGCGGCGGGATAGGGAGCTGAAGGAGAAGAAATAGGCTCCCTAGGATGAACGTCATGGAGACGTAAAACTGTGGTCATTGGTGGTTGGTAGGTTCCGAGTCCTGTCGGTGGCTCAGAATCTGGTGGGGCAGGGGTATCCGGGTATACCCCTGCCATGGTTAATTTATGTTTGGCACTTTAAGTTGGTATGTTGGAATATGTTGATACGTATGTTATATGTTATATGTATATGTATATATGTTATTTATATGGGGGTCATTGCCTGTTATATTAACAGAAGGATTCGGTTACGAGGGCGGAGTATGGGGGCAATGACCCATGTTTATTGTTAAAATTATTATTGCTTAATAAATTATTATTATTCAAGATTGGTTAAATAAAGCTGTGGACAAATTTTCCCATATACCTTTGTGTCAGTGAGTTATTGGGTTGGGTATGTGGGAGGGTTGTCCTGGAGTCCGACTGCCCATATGGCGACTATACACCGGTCAAGTAACCCAGGGAATTTGTGTCTGGACTAATGGGATTATGTGTCACACTAAGGGGAGGAGATGTGTGGGAGGTAACTGGTACATTATTGGCTGGGATACTAATTGTTGTGGATCCCTCCCTTGCATGGGAGAATGTCTTAAAAGGAGGTTGGGTGAATAAATCTAGAGATTCTGCTTAACCCTCAAAACGAAGTGTCGTCTCGTTATTGGGGGAATGGGATTGTATGCTGACTGCCAGGAGTGTAACCCTTTCGTATGGTTTTCCTGTTCGGATATTTCCAGTGTTCATGTGTTTCCAGTTCGGGAGATCGGTGCTTACAGTAGTTGTCGGTGTATCTTGAAAGGGGAATATCGCCTAAACGGTTTTTAACCTCTGGTGAGCAAAACGGTCCGTTACAATGTCTGTTGTAGCAAATCACAATCCTTTTTTCCATATATGTATAATTTTTTAACATTGTGTTTTTTTTTTCACAGTTGTGTATTTTTGGATAGGTTTTAACCTTCTTGTACCAGACCCAGGCCCTGCTGACTTCCTGCTCTTCTTACGGTTTGTACCTTTTTCCTTCAATGTTGGTTATTTGTGTTCTTTCCAGATATTGTACTTTTGCTTAATTGATCATGTGTATTAATCCTAATCTTTTATCTGGCCAGATTTGGGCTGAGGAGCTATCTGCTTCAACATCTAATATATAAATTCATCATATGAGATAATTCACGTGATGTATATGTTTATATAAATTTTTATTTACCCCTTAGTGATCAATTAAGAACAGTGCATGTCGTGGTCAGTTTGGAAATTGGTGACCGATGATGTCATCAGTAAAAAATTCTAACAGAAAGCCGGTGTTGATGAGAATGCCAAACCAGGATATACCTAGAAGTCTTGGTAATGGCATAATGGCACATAAATAGCCTTCTGGAGGCTCTGGGATTTACATATCTGTTATTTTCTGCCAGCTGGTTATCCTTGATTTAAAAAGGTAGATGCTGTGATATGTACCATCCTGTTACTGGAAGACGTAACTGTCAATGCGGTTAGATAGTCTTGTAGGGGCAGTTAAGCTCTTCAACCTACTTCACCTACTTCCAGAGAAAAACTGTGAGATAGGGAGAGTATAAACGACCTCTTGGTGGGAAACATGGAAAACAATATTTGTTTTTTCTTTTAAAAACATTTAAATGAAAAGAAACACTGAAAATACAATATGTCTAAAAAAAATGTTATACTGATTTCAGGGCTGTATTTCCTTGTGGTTGTACTTTGCCATGTTAGCCTTGACAAGCCAACTTAACATAATACCATGGAAGCTTTTAGGGTATTAAACGTAACTATAATTCTTGAGCATGGATTGCAAATAAAATGATAACCGTATTTAGTGTGTGTATATTCGTACTGATACATGTGTATTTTTTAACTATTTTTGTTTCAGAGAGTTTGTAGTTAACAAAAAAAACACAGTTTACCTTTATTTTTAAGAAACGAATATTGTGTTTGAAAGCGTGAATTTTAATGAAATGTAGAATTAGACATGTGATTATTAAAATTGATCTTGTTGGAGGTTGCTGCATCGAATAATGCTGATCTATGCAGTCCAATCAACGTGAAAGCTTTCTTTCAACAGTCAACCCAAGCAAAGAGACATGGAATCGCAGTTTAGAGAACACCCTAATTCCCTCTCCTAAGTAAATCCATGCTTAACGTTGTTTTCATATGCTAGAAATAGATAGTTTTCTTTTTGTGGACATTTTGCCATGTAACATTTCTTAACCACACCAGTGCTCTGTCCTTAGCCCACCTTCTCCATGTCAGAATTAATAATCAGCAGGACAGCTTTGGGCTCGATTTCTTAGCAGCTTTATAGTTTGTACATATAAACCTTACACGTCTAAAAAGGCTTTAATCTGACTTAGAATGATTTATGTGTAAAGTATAGCGAGTGGAAAGACCATTTTAGAATGCCAATGTACATAGCAATCTTGAATTTAATAGAGAGAGAGGGCACTAATAAGAGAAGGACAGGAGAATTTGAAAACATTACATGTGTTCAGAAATGGCCAATGGAAAGGCATACAGACATGGGGCTACATGAATAACGGGGATGCAGAGATGACTTTGGGGACAGGATAGGAACAGGAAATGGTATGCAGAGTGACCAACAGGTAGAAGAATGGATACTAAATTAGAACTAGCTCACAAGATTTCTAATAGAAGCCATATCTTTCATAATCATCATGACATAAGTTTGCAGAAAAATTGAGTTTAGTTGACTTAAACACTCATGATTACACTATTGACCTCTATGCCACATATTGTGAGAATGTTTTTTGTTTGCTTATTTTTTTTTTCCCATTTGCCAGTGTATAACTTATTACAAGTTGCATATTTCATATTTACCTTTGAAGTGCAATTATTATGTGATATTCACTTTGACATATGAGTAATATTAGTAGGTGTTAGCTATCAGTTAAGCACATCTTTCTGGGCCATGCTTGTATTTCAGTACTATAAGGTTTGTCCACCATGTGCATCATCTGTACTAAATGTGTTGATTACCTGGTCATTAAAAACCACTTAAAGGCTGTATACTAGTTTTACATTATCATGTCTCTTTATCTGCCTGTCTCAGTGAAATCCTGATTTTACCCACCTCGGTACTCCTATTCTCTCTGGACTATATGACATTTCTCTGTGCTCCTGTCATTGAATTGTCACTGCTGCATTCGCCATGGCAACTGAAGTCTGGGGGTGCAATTTTAGGGGAATTGAGATGATGTTGCTCACATTGGATTCGTTTCAATGGAAAGCTCTAAATTTTAAAACAGTAATTAAAATGTAAAAAAAAACTTTAATTTTGAAGTCATGGCTATAATTGAAACTTCTCTAAATTTAAATTGAAAATTACAAAAAAAAAGAAATATATACAGATAGAATATACAAGGTGACTGCATAAAGGCTATTGCAATAATCTATGAAGACCAACCAGTGAAGCGCAATTTCACTCAGACTAGAGCAGCCAATCCTGGAGAGCTGTAGGTAATGGCAACCCTGTGGTCCGAGGTGTACTAACAATAAATGGACAGAAACCAATAAAAGTTGAGTATCTATTTAAAACACTTATACGGACTTAAACATTGTGAGCTGGTACACTTCACAGATCACCATCTTCTTATACACAATGACAAAACATAAAAGCACTGCCCCGTCTCCATTCCATTTCCACTTCATCCATACATTTTGCGTGACACCAATTGTACAAGGAAAAAAAAAGACAATTACCTTCATTATAGGCTTTATTAGGTGTAATAATTTAAAGCTAAAGAAGCCTATGGCATGACATTTGCTGTTTTGTTAGTATTTATTTAATTATAGTAAATGATTCTTTCCCCGAACGTAGACCTGCTCTCTTTCGCATGCTCGCTAGCGCATCCTCACTTACTGCCTAATTCATTTTACGAGCGAGTCGTGAGAACGGAACTCGGTCGGTAAGTGAAGACTGCCTGTTCTCGCTCTCTCTCTCTCTCACTTACTGCCCAATTCATTTTACGAGCAAGTTGTAAGAACGGAACTCGGTCGGTAAGTGAGGACTGCCAGTTCTCTCTCTCTCTTTCTCTCTCTCTCTCTCTCCACACATATATATATATAGAGAGAATAAGAGATATATAGCTATGTCTCTATAACTAAACATTTGTAAATTTGTTAACTTAATTATAAAAACAAAAATCTCAAACATTCAAAGAAATATGCAACATTCAAAAACAGAATATTACAACATATTTATATTTCAGATGGATCTTTATGAATCTTGTGTTTTCCTAAATTTATTATTCCACTTGCATGGTGGTATTTCTGCAGTTCTATAATTTAAAATCTATACATAATGTATCACAGTGTCCGACATGCTTTTAAAACTGAACTATCAATAAGTAAATCCATGTTGGTTAGCAAGTCCATTTAGTAATTACTCAAAAAGCAGTTATGTTTTTACTAATATTCAATTACTTTTGTCAAAGAAAATCCTTTGTAAATAGCAAGATGCGGCAAATCACTCAATCGAATTGCAATCTTTTCAAGCCAAACGCTGTTCTTCCTCTTAATCTGATTGTTATAAGATAACTTATGCGTTTATATACTATCTCCTACACAATAAAATAATCGCAAAAGTACAAAAATGTTTTTATAAGCTGAAATGACTGTCACCTACAAAAGACATAAATGTGAAAATAAAATCACAAGTCGTTTTGTTAACTCTGGAAATAAAATTATAATTGCAGAGCTTAAGGCAAAGTGTTCTTAGCACTAAGCTTCTGTCGGTTGGAATGTAGCCAGATTGTATATGATGAAGGTAAATTTCTGTCAGTTTGAAAAATGTTGTTTCTGTGAGATTGATCAGGGCCTATGATAAGCAGATGGGGTGTTGGCAGCGTGAGGTTTTAAACAGGGTGAGGTACAGGTAAGATTCTGTGTGCTGGGGGCAGGGAGCGGTCTAGGAGATAAGGCACTACGACTGAAGGTATGGTGTAAAACGAGACACCCCACCCTTTCTTCTCCTTAGTAACTCAGCTATTACTGCAGGCCATTCTTGTTAAGTTGTTATCTGATCGTTTTGAGTTTCTGGAATTTGTGCTTTGACAAATGTTATATCTTGCTCTTGTTTTCTATTTTCCATTTAATTGTTGATGGTTTTTCAAGGTATTGTATTTTTTAAAAATAAAGGCGTAACAAAAAATTCCAGAGGCTAAATAGCTTTGCCTTCCTCTAAAACACACACACACACATATATATATATATATATATATATATATATATATATTTATTTATTTATTTTTTACAAATTTACAAAAATAAACAAAATGAGTATAAACATCTGGGTGGAAACTCTATGTTTCTGAAAAAAAAAATGTTCATAGAAATACTGTATGGGGGGATGTAGTTTGATCTTACTAGAATAGCAATCTAATATAATAAGGAATTAATTGAGTACACAAGCAATAATGTACATTTGAACTAAGGCACATCAAGAAGGCTCTGTACACTGGAGTATAGGTCCTAGGCACCACCATCTTTGTGTGGGCAGATGAAAGCCCTGTGGGATTTGTCATCTGCCCACACTAGATAGCGCTGTGATATTCCCCAACATGCCCTGTTAAACACTTTTTATTTGCTATTGTCCGAAATTTGAACGGTAATTTCGGCTATTTCGGTTCATTTGTCAGAAAGACGGCCGAATGAATAGAAATTTCAAATGAACAAATGAAGACTGTAGCAGACCATGGGTAACCCAACTGGTTACCTCAGCTATGAATAAATGAAGAGACCCATTTTTCTCCCAGTAACTGGACGACACACAGTTCCAGGGGTACAACAACACTTTATTGGCCACACTCAGCTTTTTACTTGCCTCATGCACTGGGTGGGTTGAGAGTCCACCCAGTTCTGGGCAGTTCAGTGAATGTGGCATTGCCACTCTGTATGGGAGTCCTCACCTTTTCTGGTCTCTCTGAGCTTCTGCCAGTATGCCTCTGGGGTTATGGCAAACCTGGCCAGGAGGACCTCCTTCACGGCTTTGTGGTCTCGGATCTGGTCCCCTGGTACTGCTCGGTATACCTCTGCTGCCCTTCCTGTCAATTTACTGCCAAGGATGGCGACCCAGACAGTTGGGTTGACTTCTAGCAAGAGACATTGCAGCTTGAAATCTTGCAGGAAGTCATCAATGGCCACCTCTGCGTCCGTGAACTCCTTGAAGGCAGCATGGGTTAATTTTGGCTTGTGTGCAGAGATAGGTGGCCCCTCTGTTCTTCTGTTCCTCGGGAGGTATGGGAGTCACCCAATGCTTCTGAGCCTGGACAAAGGCCTAGGTCTCCAAGATGAGCTTGGTCAGGAGTTCTACAGGTGGAGGCTTTGTGTAGAAGGCCAGGCTCTGCCTCATCATTCTGGCAAAGGCTTCTTCTCCCCCTTCTAGCTGTGAGGCAGCCTCCTCACTTCTTCGCTGGTCGTCCTCCATTAGCTTGGCAATCAGATCAGCCTTGTTACGGTTACCAGCCAATTTCCCTCTTCCTTCCAGCAACTCTTGCAGGGTGTTTCTTTTAGATTAGTATAGTCCATGGGTCTGTTGGCAGGGACATGGGATCCCGCCGCTTGCCACCAGTTGTAGCGGACTGTGGGTAATCTGACTGGTTACCTCAGCTATGAATAAATGAAGAGACCCATTTTTCCCCCAGTAACTGGACGACACACAGTTCCAAGGGTATAAGAACACTTTATTGGCTACACTCGGCTTTATACTTTCCCCATGCAAGGGGTCGAACACACCCACCGAAAATGTCCCCTCCCAGGGTCCTCTCCCTCTCGAGGGTCACATAACAGAACCGGAACCTCAATCCCTTTGTCCCCTGTTCCCGCCATCCAGTGTCCCTTCCCAGGGCCCTTCCCTTCCAGGGGTCTGTGCATGTGACAGGAACTCTAGTCCATTTGTCCCCAGTTCCTGCCACCCATCTTTAGAGTTTCCCAACTCCGTTGACCAGGGGTCTTTATCCCATGAGCCTCTGTGACTCCCTGCCACAGAAAGCCCCAAGGAATGTCCCCACCAAACTCAGGAACCCCCAGAACAGTACTCAGCATGAACAGCCTTAGTTCGTAGAGTCCCTGGGTGAAACCAGGCAAGCATCCCCTTTCAGGACACAAATGCGACCCCTGGAAGGGGGAGGTCGAAGGCCACCCAGGGGAAGCACTCATTAATTACTTCCTTTGTGGTTTCACACTTATCTTGCAAGTTGCCAACATTCTAATGGATTGGTGCGAACACTCCAAGGGTCACTGGGGAGGTCCTCGAACGGGAACCAAACGAGACGAGAAGCAATCTGCGAATGCTCCCCCTGGACGGCGTTCATCTAACAAACGGGCTGCCACCCAGGGTCGGCATACGCTGAGGCTTCTCTTGCAGTTTGCAGATTTCACACCTTATTAGCAAAGTGTGAGAACATTCTAACTAAACATTCTAACTGTGATCTTTGAGTGGTTCACGTTCGGGAGACAAACAGAACCTGTTCGTAGGAGCTCTCCTGAACAGAGAGCAGGTAATTTTACAAGTACAACAAATGAAACACAGGGTCAGGATAGGGAAAACACATGAAAGGGATGTCAGGACAGAACACACATTACACGGTAATCTGGTTAGTGCACAGTTTAGCGGGGTTTGTGCTACAAAGACCTTGTTTATTATATTTATTACAACAGCCACTGTTGTTAAAAAAAGACCCCCACCCCGATTCCAATAAAGAGGGACCTAGCACAGGTTCCCCATATCCCCCTGGTATTAAAATAACTAATTGGGGGAGGGCATAGTGTCATCCCCCAAC